CAACATGGCTTCAGGAAGGGACACTCAACTATAGGAGCAATTGGCGAAGTAGTCGAGGCGCTACATAAGGGCGAAGAAGCCTGCCACCAGGCGCGGCCAATAGTGCTGCTAATCACACTGGACGTCAAGAACGCCTTCAACCCGGCAAGATGGGACGACAATGCTGGAGGCCATGGGACGGTCATTCAAGGTTCCAACATACTTGCTAGATATGATCCGGGACTACCTCAGAGACCGTTGGCTTTTGTACGACACAACACAAGGTCAGAGAAAGAGACGTATAACCGGCGGAGCGGCACAGGGGTCTGTACTTGGCCCGGACCTCTGGAACGCCACGTATGACAGTCTGTTGCGCACGGAAATGCCGGAAAGCGACTTCCTTGTCGCCTTCGCGGACGACGTGGCCGCCGTCATAACAGCAAGAAATGTCCAGCTAGCACAGCTCAAGCTAAACCAGGTCATGCGCAACGTCAGTGGATGGATGAGCGATCACGGTCTGCAATTGGCTACAGCCAAAACGGAGATCGTGCTCCTCACCAGGAAACGGATCCCAACAATTATAAATATAATGGTCGGACCTCAACCCGTGACGACTTCTAGGTCTACAAAATACCTAGGGGTGAAGCTTGACAGCAAACTCACATTCTGGGAACACATCCATGGAGTATGTGAAAAAGCTGCGCAGAGCACGGCGGCTCTAAGCCGGCTGATGGCGAACGTGGGCGGCCCGAAGCCATGCCGCAGGAAGTTTCTGATGACAGCGGTCCAATCGGTGCTCCTGTACGGGGCAGAAGTATGGGCTGACGCATTGAAAGTAAAAAAATACCGGATTCAAATGTTNCCGGATTCAAATGTCTTCGGTACAGCGCAGAGGGGCACTACGCATTGCTTCTGCATACCGTACAGTGTCCGCGGACGCGGTTCTAGTTATTTCTGGCGTCATGCCAATTGAGCTACTTGCTTACGAGCGAAAAGAGATTTACAATCTCAGTGCCGAGATAGGTCGAGCAGCTGCCGCGGCAAGGGCGCGCGAGCAACTGATCCAGCAGTGGCAACAAAACTGGAACGCGAGCACAAAAGGTCGATGAACGCACTCCCTGATAGCCGACCTTCAAACATGGCTGGACAGGCCACATGGGGAAGTCGATTTCTACCTGACGCAATTCCTCAATGGTCATGGTTACTTCCGAGAATATCTTCATAGAATGGGAAGGGTGGACTCACCGTTCTGTCACTACTGTGGAAACGTCGAAGATAACGTGTACCACACATTCTTCACCTGCGAACACTTCTTGATTTCGCGCAGAATGTTGGAAGAAAGACACGGAGACATTACTCCGGACAACATAGTTGGGATAATGATTTCCAGCGCAGAAAAGTGGGAAGCAGTTGCGAGATACGTGAAATTTGTACTCCGATGCAAACGAGAGGACGGTTGTCTACTGAGGACACCCGAACGAAACGCCCCTACAAAAGAGCAGCCCCAAGGCTCTAACAGCACGCTCTTGCATCTGAAGACATGCATAATTGCGGTGCCAGATTCGGGATTCTTGCGCGGGCGGTGGGAGATTGGGTTCTAGTGGGTAGCCCAACACGCTTCGGTGGGAGTCCCACACTCGGGGAAGGTAGTATAGAGACTAGCGCCCCCGGCCAGTGCATAAAGCATTTCCCTC